TAACAGTTACCATCTCAGAAACCCACAGTGGGTTGTTATGAGTCAGCATTGACTCGATGGCAGTGAGCGATTTAAAATGTTAGCAGCAAGGAGAAAGTTTAGCACATGCCATTGGTCCTGGACCTTTTTAGCACTCCAGTGTTAACCACATTGAATCGGATGCCCTTTTCTCTAGTCTCTGTGCAGAGGAGGAGAGAGAACACCCGGAGCTAGCGCTCCCCCGGACCTTGTGGAGCTCTGGTTGACCACCTCGAGCTGCAAGGAGCTGGCAGGCTTCAGGGGCACCATATTGGTCATGGCTAGTTCACATCCACCATGCGGTCCACATACCCATGCTTTGGGGACTGCCACTCACACCTGCTTCCCCCACAAACCCACCTCCCTGCAGACCTCTAGCAGGAAAGCCCCATGCCCATCCTGTGTCCTGGAGTAAAGAAGCCAGCCTGCTGCAGAGCTCACAAGAAAAGTCAAGAACAGTGACTCCATTGAGCTCTTTCTCCAAAACAAAACTCTTAGGAACTGTGTGCACCTCAACACTAGGCCACTAGAAAAGGAAAGGTGTGCCCATGGATGAGTTTGGACTTCACCCACCAGGAGCTGGGCTGAACCTGACCCTGATGACCCACAGCTGTCATAAACCTGGAAGATAACTGATGCCAACAAGAACAAGATTGTTTTCCTCCCATACCTGCTGGATGGAGCCGGGACCGGAGGTTCACATTTGAAGAGGGTGGGCCCTACTACATCATCAGGGCCACTGCACCTCTGATGGACTCAGAGCAGTTGTTGAGAGTCTAGCTCTAGTCTGGACAGACAGCGGTAGAAAAAGCCAGCTGGGAACTCTGGAGCTGGGTATGTGTCCTGGATCCAGGGTCTCCAAACGCCAGTGAAGAAGGCTGACTGGCCCTCTCCAATCACTGAGGACCCGGTAGTGGGCCTGAGCAATAGTTCTCCTTGCCCAGCTGATTCTATGGCCAGACATACGGGCTTTGCCCACCAGTTCTGCCTGCAGGCCTGGGTGTTGAATTAAGGAATTCTAGCTCCCTTCTTCCCTAAACAATTGAAATTGACTTATTCCTTCTTAACAAAGTTAAAATTCAAAATTCCAAGCCTGGCCCAAGCTCAAACCTTCTCTTTCCTGCCTAGAAGACATCTGATTCTGGAAACGCCCTTCTCAGGGAAGGAATGGTACACCCCAAACATCCCAGACACACACTCATCTCACAGCCATATCCCTTGCTCACCTCCAACATCCTCAATCAACCCTTTACTCTCACACAGCAAGCCTTCTTCTCTTCCACCTCCTACAGCCGAGCCAGGTTGGAGGCAAAAGCGAAACTGGGACCTGTAACACAGGCCCCATTCTCTAAGACTACTACATTCTAAGATTGCACTGGGGAGAGAAGTGACTGTCAGGTCA